GGAGCCGCTGTGCTGCGTGGCCTTGTGTGGGGAGGGGAGCCTCAGCACTGCACCCTGAAGGGGGTGGCGGGTCACGGGTGAATACAGCAGCAGGTGGCCTCCCTCGGTCGTGAGCCTGCAGGAGGTGGGGTGTCGTCAGTGTGCATGCCTGCCGAGCTCGGGCTGCTCCTGGCGTGCTGGCAGCCTTGGTCTCCGGCATCTTTGCTGATCAGCCCAGTTGGGTGTGACTCAGCAGTGCGCACCCCTGGGCTCTGCAGGCCGTCTCGTAGCTGCCGTCCCCGCGCCTGGTCCTGTCGCACGTGTGTCGCACGTGTGTGCTGTGTGTGCTGTCCTCTGTCTCCGCCCTTCGTCTTGCACGTGTTTTGTGGCCCGTCATGTGCACAAGGCCCTGCACGGCCGTGGTGCAGTGCGTGGTGAGGGGAGCTTCGTGCTTCCCCAGGAAGGTCAGCATCCAGGAGGAGCGGCTGCCCGCGGAGCGGGGCCACCTCTGGTCTCGGGTAGCAGGAGGCTCTGGGCTATTCTCCCTGTTACGTAGAGCGTAAGAGGCATGATGACTGCTTTGGGGAAAGTAGGGGAGTCCTCTCACATGTAACCTTCTTGCCAGGAGACATTACCAGGAGCCAGGATAAGCGGAGGCCTCTCCAACTTGTCCTTCTCCTTCCGAGGCATGGAGGCCATCCGCGAGGCAATGCACGGAGTGTTTCTCTACCACGCCATCAAGGTACTGCCCGCCAGGACCGGCTAATGTGGGTGGAGCTTCTCCAGCTGTGCTCATGGCCACCTCCAGCCTGTAGCGTTGACTTCTGCTGCCTGGGACTGAGCCTGCCCACTCGCTCACCCTGCTCCTCTGCTACCCCTATTAATGCTAGAGTGCATGTGCACCGTGAGCAAGACCCCAGGCGGGTCTTACCGGGCCACGATGCCCTCGCCCCAGACTTCCCGGGCATCGTGGGCACCTACATGTGTGCCCAGCGTGCCCTCAGGCCAACCTGGAGCCCAAACCCCCAGTGGGCTCGTGGCTCCCTGCACCGCAGTCCAGGATGCTGCAGGCTGTGTCGCCGGCAGGCCGCGCTGCTTTTAGGCTCCAGCAGCAGAGCAGAGACTGGCCTGGCAGGTGTGCTCTCTGGCCCCGTGCAGAGGGCTGCTGATCCCTGGTTTAGGCTGTCACGAGAAAAGCTCATTTCTCTTCCTCGTGCCTGCAGTTTGGTATGGACATGGGGATAGTGAATGCTGGAAACCTGCCCGTGTATGACGACATCCATAAGGAACTTCTCCAGCTCTGCGAAGACCTCATCTGGAACAGAGACCCCGAGGCCACCGAGAAGCTCCTGCGCTATGCTCAGGTGGGACGATGGCCGCTGGCTTTGCTCTGTCCGTCAGCTCGTCACCCTCTCACAGCTAGGAGACCTGCGGCAGGACCGCAGCAGGGCTTCCTGAGGGTTTCGGAGGTGGAGTTCCTGGGCTGCGTCCGGTTCCAAACTTAGGCTTCGATTTCAGTTAACTTCTGCTACAGGGTACTTGTGCTCACCACAGAGAGTGAAAGAGAGATCACCCCTCAGAGGGGAGGGTCATGCCGTAATCCCTTCTCCAATCTCCTCTTGGGATTTTGGGCATGCATACTCGCCTAGCAGAATGTGTCAAGCTTCCAGGTCTGGGACTTGGACCACTCCGTGGACCATGTGGGATGTAGTACTTGAACCCCCTTGTCATCTGCTGGCCCTAAATTTATTTCTAAATGACAAATTTAAGTTCTTTTACACTGAAGTAAAACATACTCTAAAAAACCTACAAAATGATGGTAAAAAGGGAAGAAACTGACAGTCACTCAAAATCTGCCCCCCAGAGGTACTCACGGTTGAGATTTCGTTGTAGCTGTGCAGTCACATGGGTCCTTTTTCCTTTGGGACTACGAGCTGCGCCCACACGAGGATGCGTGTGTGGAAGGTGGGGGCTGCCCTCTTCAGCAGTAGGCTGGGCGCCTCTCTGTCTGGTCCACCGTTCCTGCTGCCTCCTGTGACAGGGCCGCTGTGGATTTCCTAGACAGCCATGTCAGCGTCACTGCTGCGTGGCTCGTGCCTCTGTGTGTGTCGGGCCTGCCCGAGTATGGCTCAGCACTGCCGCTCACACGGTCTCTGTCTGCGTTTGGGCTCCCTTCCTATTGACAGGGCGCGTGTCGGCCTCTGCTGAGGCCGGGGGCGGGGGGGGGTTGCTCGTAGCTTCCCGGTCAGGAGGCCGTGCAGGGACTTTGAGCCCCTGAAGTGATGTGCGCCTCGTCCTCCCCCGATCCGGGGGCAGCTCCCGCTCAGGAGAACAGGCTCCTGTTGTCGGGCGGCCTGGGCCCCGGGTTTCATGCCAAGCACTGTGCTCAGTGTGTGTCCCCTGCCAAACTGTGGAGCTCTGCCCCTGGGGATGGGGCCGAGAGAGCTGTGGGCCACAGGTGCCTGAGGACGGGCAGCCTCCCGTAATGACCTCTCGTGTCTGGCCCCGTCCCCGAGAACTGAGTCTCAACGCGGGGCGCTCCTCCGTGTCACTGACTGCTCACCGGCGCTGCCCTGGCTGTTGCATTTCTTTTTTTATTTTATTTAATTTAATTTTATTTTTTTATTTATTAATTCACTTTACACCATCACAACACACAAATGAATTTTCCATCCAAAATACACTGTGCATTGGCTCACTCAAGCACATCCACATATATGTTCTCAGCAAATAATTTTCCAATTCTTACGTCCTGCATACGTTGCCCTTTGTCTTGCCATCCCTGATTCCCCATCCCCCACCCTCTGCTATGTCCCACCTTCCTCCCCCATTGTCCCTGGCATCCATGGTTGCCCTCCATACCTTCCTCCCCCCACCATTCAATTGTTCTGCCAATGAACTTAATTAGTCTAAATAAATCCATTAGCTAGCACAGCTGACACAAACCTACACATGTATCCTAGTCTGACCCTAGGCATAAACCCCGGTGAGTAGAATGAACATACTATAAAGTAATACCCAGCTGTGCCCATACAGCTCGCTGCATTCATCAATGTGCATTTTTTTTTCCTCCTGCAACTTTTTTTTTTTTTTTTTTTAATATTATATTACCTAACACTCATTCCCTTCCCTGAGCCACAACATACTAAATGTAGTTTCCCATCTAGGACAAACTACATAGTGACTTAATCAAGCATGTTATCATCAATAATATTTTATTTCTACTTTCATACAATGTATACATACATATATGTTTTTTATCCTATCTTTGACCCTCTGCCCTTTCCCCCTCTCCCATTACACTATCTCTGCTATATACAGTTGTCTTCCAGGGGAACCATTGAAAATGTGATACCTGCAAGTAAAGGGAGAAGGGCCACAAGTTTAAAGTTTTCAACAATAGGGATCATAGATTCCATTCAATGTTGGATCAAGGGTGGGTCTCGTGCAGATCGCCATTGTAGGAATGATGCCGTGGGGCTCTACAGCGTGAGCTATCCTCGGGTATCTGGCTTCCTCAAGAATGGTAGAGTAGTTCCTGTTCTTCCCTGAGGCAATGCAGGGCTGGTAACCATCATCTTCTCACTGTCCATAGGCAGAGGAAGTCCTTCTATATAATATATTTCTCAACTAGTTTAAGACAGCTAAAGATTCTTTCTGTTGCTTACAGTTGAAAGTTCTCAATCCTTGTTTTCGGTTTCAGCTTGCTGGACCGAAGGCCACACGCAGGCCCAGGAGAGGCAGCTGAACGCCAGGCAGAGCCCTGGGTGGGGGCCCCGCCTCCCGCCGCCTTGCTTGGCGCGG